TCATTTTTCTGGTCTGCTTACTACCTTTTGGGCTGAAATTTATGTGGATGTAAGAAGAAAATTTGGATCCTCTCAAATATACAGTGAACTTGTATTCGTTAGTAGGAGAAAGAATTTAACATAAAGATCTCTTTCTTCTGCTTGAAGCAATGTCTTAAGCTATGATGCAGAACTGATGATTCTTATTGAGGATAATTTAGGTAGCTAACTGACATGGTTTTGATTGAGGCCTGTTTAAGTAGACTTGAGCAGTTGAGCTCTGAATACAAATCTTTTTCAATATTGAAACATGTTTCTATCAGGCCATGAGAAGTATTCTTCTAGGGTGAAAGTTTGAAGCCATTACGTTGGTCCAGGATCATGATTGACCCTAATGCTTTGCTTGCATGCATTGTGGTCGGATGTGATTTATTTGTTTTTATCTGAACTATTTATACTTTCTATGGCATTTCCATTTAAATTTTTATTCTGGATTCTGGAGGTATTTGAAGAATTTGTAGATTAGGGGCAAGCATCTTGGGTTAGCATTGATGCCATTGCCAGGTATTTACTTCTCCTTTTGTGCCACTTTTGGGTTACTGGGTATAGCCATGTTTGCACGATTTTCTCAATCCACCACACCCAGTTATTTTGTGTTGGGTTCGAGCTGTTTTTATATTCATTTGTATTTTTGCTACCTTGAAGGGGCAACCATCACTGGAATTAATAACTTAACCCACCATATCTAAGTTACCGAATAGTATACTTTCTAATAGAAAATTCCTTGCCTTTGAAAGGCAATGGTGAGGACTGAGTTATTAAACAAACAGAATGTTATTCATGAGATCTTTCTATAATTGAATGTGATTCATGTGAGAGAGTGCAGATTTTGTTCGTGTTTATGATTGCTTGCTAAATGATTTGCGTATGCTCGCTGTGGTACTTGTTACGAATTTACCAATCAGGCCAACTCTCAGAAACCTCATCTTTCCTCCTCTTCTTGGATGTTGTATAACAACCACCATTACCCTGGCCCCTGGAGTTCTCTGATTTTCCTAGTGAATGCTGTTTAATGCCCATGACATGTACAGGCGTTGTTCATGTGGGGTTTATTGCCGAATATAATTAAAACCTCAAAAGTTTATATGTAAAATTGCTAGGACCTAAGCATCAGAATCTCTAAAAGCGTTTCTTGCTGCGAACTTTTGGAATGATGCCCGCTTAAATAAACCTGGCTGTTTGATCTCTCAGAACCCAAAAAGATTTGAAAGTCTGTCAGACAACTATGTAACCATCCCCTCCAGACAAAGACTGGAGGGGAACGATCCTCCACGGCCAGAGTGATCCGAACTGGATCACCAAACCATTAATCACGCTCTGATCACACAGTCCTAATTCGTCAACCAGACTTGAAATCCTGTCTCCTTAGAACTCAAGGACACAGAGGTACGAGCCTATAGAACAGATCCTGTTCAAGTAAGGTCGTGGCCTCTTCACTCTTGGTTGTGCCTTAAGTATTATTTGCGTTGCTGCTGTCCTTGCGATGTGGGATGCTGGTCTACCGCCCGAAACTATTCGTTTTAAGTGAACAACAGGCTAACGTGTCCCACGCGGATTCACTTGCTGTCAGATACTTACCTGCAACTGTCGTCTGCTGTTATTAATCCGAACTCGAACGCAACACCGAACAACTTGTTTGTTTCCATTGGAGAAAGCGAGTGGCAAATCAATCATTCATCACAATCTGTTTTTTTCAACTCAAGCTTTGTGGCAATATCTAAGAGCACCCAATTTCAGTTAATTAATCTTTTCTCTCTCTCTTATCCAAAACCTTTGTTTCATTACTGCAAATTGAATTTTTTATTTTTCAATGATAATTTAACTTTTACTTATTTCTAAATTGTAATTTGTGAATATATATTAGTAATAAATTTAAGCCAAAACTTAAATAAGCATATGGTTTGAAAATAAAGATAAATGAGACATGAGCTGGGTGTAACGAGGTTATGTTTTTAATCTAAACTATGTATATTAAATAAAAAATATTTTTTAATTAATAATATATTTTATTATTTATTAATGTAACATCCATAATTCTTGAATCTTTGTTTTATTGCATATTTAAGATAAACGTCCTAATTGGACTTGAGCCCAACAATTTCCCTTTTTCATTGCAATATTTAATTTTATTCTCTTTTTTCTTTCATCCCTCTTTGTTTCTGTCAGTTTTTTCTTTTGCCAAGATGTAATTTTAAAGTGAAAGGAAATTCCTTTTCGGATTCTATGAAAAATAAACGCTTATTTGGTTTTGTCGAGCATAATTTTTTTAAAAAAATTTAAGATGGATAAGAAATAATTTTATATTAATTTTGGAAAAAATTTTATCCGTAAATAAATTGACAAACGTAATACTAAATATATTTTAAGTTATATTTTTTATAAGCTCTTAAAAATAAGTAATTATTAAAAAAATTACATTATAGTGTTTAATTTAAAAATATTTTAATAAAAATGTAACTTAAATTTATAAAATTATGTTTATATATAAAAATATAAACTTCTAATATAAGTTTGGAGCACTTGATAGAGAGAGCATTGGAATATTCAGATTGGCCAAATTGAAGAGATGGTGAGATGAGATGCCTAGAGAAAAAGCAGAAACTTTTTAATGCCTTATTCAGGAGTCTCAGAACTGATTTCCATTGCACCCACCAATGTGTGGGTTTTAAAATTGCCAAATGTATCTTCCACTTTCCCTTTGCTTGGAAGTGGAGTTGGCTTTACTTGTACTAAAAAATTGCAGTATATTAGAGAGAGTCCAAGTAGGCAATTTTCACATTCTTAATCTCATATCTTGACACGAGTCAGTTTAAGAACCACCCAATGTGGAATTTGTTCTTGAACTAGTATTTTATCTGCTGCTTTGATAATACTGTTATTCAGAAGAAAAGAGTCACAAAGCTTAGGTCATAAAGGCCAAATAAAATAAATGGTAACTAAGCTTCAAGTAAAAGGTTAAATTTTATGGATAGAGAACAAAAAAGAGTGGTCTAATAGTCAACCTCATGCTCTCAAAATAATGCCCTAGTGAAGCAGAGATCCAATCATACTTAATACTTGAATCTCAATTTTGTGTTGAGATGGAGAGATGGAAAATTAGACTTTCTGCTGAAAAGGTGATGAAGTCTCTGTGTGCCATGACCCAGCCACGTTAGTCTGATGTAAGAGGTGATGCTAACAAACACACAAGTGAAAAAAAAAATTAATAATGGATTAGCAAGCTGCCTAGATTCTTATTTAAACTGTATGCTGTACCTTTTTGTGTAGGATTTGACCTTATTTTGCACATAGATTTCTTGATGAACAGACATACCTATTCATATGATTAAGCAGCCACCATGTTGAAATGCTATTGACAAATTAGTTGTGGAAGCAACAAAATATATTTTATATATAAAAATTGAACACCATTGCCAAGACAAATTCTACAGTCCTTCTCATGCAGACAAGAGGAATAGCTGGAAAAGAGTGGACGTGAACAAGTTCTGCTTCAATTCTTTCTACCACGAGTAAATTGCCCCCTAAGTAGGAAATAATGAGAGAAAATATCTTCCATCACTTTTTAAGGGATGCTATTCTAAAGCATTTTGGATTCAACAAATCATGTAATGATAATTACAAATTCAATCTGGTTTTGTTAATGAAAATGACAAAACAGAATAAAAATAAACATAATAGAGGCTAAGACTAACCTTTTTGCTAGGTTCTTCATTTCTCTACCCCACCTCCAAAGAAAAAAAAGAAACAGATGAATAATTAATCTTATCCTCTGCCAGTATAATGTAGCACACTTGGAGGAAATATTGAAGCACCTTGAGGTAGGAGTCGGACCCCTCACTCAGGAAATTTGTATTAGTCCAAAGTGGTACTTGTACAAAAGACCAATTAGTCATAAACCATCCAGTCCAAAAAGGAAATAAATCCATTAACTCAATCAACTAGCTAGCTAGCTAGCAGCACCATTGAAATCATTCCTTCCCAGAAATTAGTACTTCAAGCTTCTCACATTCCATCAACAACTACGAAGAGGAATACAAGAAGTGGGTTTTAGTTCATGGAATGCCAAGCTAGCTGGTGTACTGATGGATCTGTAGTTAACAGGATCGGCTTTTGGGCAGCATATATGATATAATCAACAAAAAATGGAACTTATTCTATATTCTTATTTATGTGGTAAGTAAAAGACACGATGCTCTAACCAGAGAGTACTTTGAATTCTCATGCTATGGGAGTCAAATCACCCCACTGTGACTCGAGAAAGCCATTAGGCATCTTTCAAAGAATTGATACAACACGAACATGCTGTTCTTTTAAAGTTCGACAGTCTTATATTTTGTAGAGCAATTTGGATGCTTAAAATAGCATTATTTGCTTTCTTGAGAAAAACAAAATAAATCCAAATTTTGCTTCCAAAACTCCACAAAAGTACTTTGGAAGTGCTAAGCTAATGGTGCCCTTTTCTTTAATGTTTCAACATTTTCCCCTTCAAGAATATCAAAGCCATTGGCTTAAGAAATCACTTAGTACCAATCTACTGAGCAGTGTAAATGCCAATGTCTGGATAACAAAGGCTAGAGAAAACAAAAAATAGTGCAATCTTGGCCTTTATCACTGGATGACCCACTTTGGTATCTAATGTTGATGAGAATAATGAACAATAATTACACAAAATCAGAAACTCTATTGGCAATGGTGGGTGGAATAATCGCTGGACCTCATTCCTTATTCTATAGAAAATTTGCTGACCATAGCATAATAACCCATTTGTTGAAAGCAACATTACTCTTCAATGCGTTCACAGAGAAGAAGAAAACCTTATGTGACACCTTCAAGAATCCACGGCATAGAATCCTATACACCCACCAATTTCTACAATTATGTATTATTATTTGTAAAAACCAGAAGAAAAATATGCTCTTGTCTTTGCATGCCATGCATATAAATAAACACCCCACATCATCCTTTGCTTAACATGTTTCATTCATTCAATAGTACTTGAAAACCCTTAACTACAAGACGCGGTAAGAGCCCATCTTTGAAGGGTTTTCAAAGGTACTTAGGAGGAAAAAAAAAGAAGAAAGAAAAGAGAAAATGATAGGGTGGGAAGATGTTTACAAGGTGGTTGTGGCTATGGTGCCTCTCTATGTTGCACTGATGTTAGGGTATGGATCAGTGAAGTGGTGGCGGATATTCACCGCGGAACAGTGTGATGCTATAAACCGCCTTGTCTGCTATTTCACTCTCCCTCTCTTCGCTGTGGAATTCACAACTCATATTGATCCGTTTCAAATGAATTATCGATTCATTGGTGCTGATACCATATCCAAGCTTGTTATTGTGGTGGTTCTAGCCTTTTGGGCAAAGTGTAGTAGCAAAGGGAGCTATTGCTGGTCCATCACAAGTTTCTCTTTGTCTGCTTTAACTAATGCTTTGGTTGTGGGGGTGCCTTTGATGAGAGCCATGTATGGCCAAACAGGGGTCGATCTTGTTGTCCAGTCATCTGTTGCCCAAGCGATTATCTGGTTGACGGTTTTGCTATTTGTTTTGGAATTTCGGAGGTCAGGAGTCTCCATTTCTTCAGCAACAAAAGATGGTAATGAACAGGAGAAAGATGTAGAAGGAAACACAGAGAATGCTGGGGTACTCAGCACCAGGCCTTCTTTCTGGAATCTGATGAAGGTTGTGGGGATGAAACTGGCTGTGAATCCCAATTCATATGCTTGTGTTATTGGCCTTGCTTGGGCTTTTGTTGCAAACAGGTCTGCGTGCATTAATATCTAGTTTTTGTTGATTTTTGGAATTATTTCAAATATATTATTAGTATGTTTTTGGATATACTTGATTGTTAAATTATGGTTTTGAATTTTACTTATAGGTGGCATTTTGAGATGCCAAGCATAATGGAGGGATCAATATTGGTAATGTCAAAGGCTGGAACAGGCACTGCCATGTTTAGCATGGGTGAGACTAACTATATATATATTAATACATTATTGATAATCAAAATTTATTTACATTCGAGCATTTGATTTAATAAAAAGTAAATTTATTCCCTGTTCAAAAATTAATTTGATATAAATTTCTCCTTCTCAATTTAAAAATGCAAAACAAACTTATCATTTTATTAAATTTTGGATGAAATAACAAATTAATAATATAATTAATCAATTGACAATACATACCATGGTATAAATTATAAACTCTTTAAGAACAATTTTACCTACCCTTTATAAAAATAAAAAAAACCTTTTTTATATATTTCAAGGTTTTAAGAGGGAAAGATATTATATATATGATAGTAGAATTATTCGAAGTAGTATATGTTAATTTGGGACTGATCTTTTATCATTTCCCAATCAAATATTTATGCAGGAACCTTCATGGCTCTTCAAGAAAAAATAATAGCCTGTGGCACAAGTTTGACGATATTCGGGATGGTTTTGAGGTTTATTGCTGGACCAGCGGCCATGGCCATTGGGGCCATCGCTGTGGGTTTGCATGGTGATGTTTTACGTGTCGCCATCATTCAGGTGCTCACTTCTGTCTCTATATATTCGATTTTGCGTTGTGCATATTCTGCTTCTTTACTCGTTGGCCATGCAGCATCTCAGCAATGTGGTTCACTCCAGTCGACTAAAAAGCCAGTGGGTGCTCAATTAAAGCTTTTGATTTTTTTAACTTTTTACACTTTAAAGACTTAATGGACATTTCGTAGGCTTCAACCTTACCTTTCTTTATTTGCCATTCTAAACTTTTTAACTCTTAATTACTTCTACATAATTTACACCCGAATATTTAACTTATTAATTAATAAATAATTTTAAAATAAAATTCAAATCTCCTTTTTTAATTTTTTTTAAAAAATCACTTATACACAATTTTCCTTTGGCTACCTCATCACTTGATGGGTTATCATTTCAATATTGGCTTAATCACTTGTTTCGATTGCTCAAACGTACATGTTTTAAATTTAGAGTGAAAATGTTTGTGTGTGTTCATTGATTTGCAGGCAGCATTGCCGCAATCCATTACCTCCTTCATCTTCGCCAAGGAATATGGCATGCATGCAGAAGTACTCAGCACTGCGTAAGAAACTCATGCACAAGTACTTAGTCTATATTACTATGAAACAATGTAGATCATTAACCTATCTTTATGATTTTTCTCATTGCAGAGTGATATTTGGCACCATCGTATCGTTACCGGTGTTGGTCGCTTACTATGCAATTTTAGAGTCTGTACATTAATCTACCTCGGCCGACCTCATTTCATACTCTTTTTTTTTTTCGATGAAAGGGGAAGGGGGGAGGGATGATCAATGTCTTTTTTCCATTTTCTTTAATTTTCTTGTTTTTGATCCAGTATTGTAACCGGAATTAGTTTATAACTATAATTAACTCAGTGGTAGGTAATGTTAAGATGCAAATGATATCTTAAAATCACATTATCTCTGGAAAAATGGGAAACAAAATATTAATGATATTAAAAATGAGGAAGATTTTTATATGTGATTAATCGAGTTTTAAGTCATTTGCAAAATCTATTGTGAATATTTTGTGTTTAGTATTTGTTTTCTTCTTCTTGGTTCATCGGCCTCTACTTTGGGTTAGATTGAAGTTTCTCCCATCTTATCTCATCTATCATTGTGAATTTTCCGGGCCTCGAAAGATGGGAGCCGGCACAAAAAGGGGCAGCGCCCAAGGTATATGGCCCAACATGATCCAAACAAGACACAATGAACAAACCCAGAAAGATGAAGCAAAAGCCGAACACCAAAGCCAATTAAATAGAATCCTCAAAACAAGACAGTAGTTCTGTTCTGTTTTAGGGTTTTGCCCAACAAAAAAAAAAAAAGTTATTTAGGCTTTAAATCAAGTACAAGTACACCTAATGGAGTGCTTGAGACGCTGGGGAAGACTGCGACCCCCACTCATTAACATGTGGGGGAAGAAAGAACGGAAAAACACGGATCACTGACTCAAACATTTTTGTTTAAATATCTTAACGCAGTCACTCTTCCAGCTGTAAATTTTGTCTTTCACATGTTTTTTCTCTTTTCTGCGGCTGGATTTTCTGAGGAGAAGGATTTAGCTTGTGATTCAAACTCTTAAGTTGGAAGTCCTTTTCATTTTCGAGTGGAAAACGCTTTTTCCTAAATCTATAGTCGTTCAATTTCTCTGTTTGCCAAACTATACATTTTTATTTTATTTTTTAATTTCATTATAAAAAGGAAAAAAAATTGGAATAGTGGGCCATTTACAATTTTATTGGCTGACTCTTTCAACGTAGGCCTGGCTTTTGGCACAAGACACGTGTTCCATCCAACCCGATCCAATCCAAATGTCCTTATCTTCGCCAACCCTTATGCATACTGTAAATTATTTATTTGGGTTTAGTTTTAAAAATTTAACCTGTAATCAAGGGGACACCTGTGTTTATATTTAAAATTAGATTTCAAGTTTGAATTTTGAGATCAACGCTATGAAATGAAAAAAATAAAGTTATTTTCATGTAAAATTTAATATCACTTGTATAAATTAATTTAACGATATATTATTTTAAAAAATAAATAAACTTATATTTTTTATTACATTTAATTAAAATTATCTATTTTTATTTTAAATTAAATAAATTTTTATAATTAATAATCGATTAATTATTATTAATAAAAATATCATATGTTATTTTTATGTCAGGTGATACTTATATGTCATATTGCATAACGATGTGATAAATTGCTATGATACAATAAAATAATCACGTGACATTTTTAATACATTAGTATCATGAGAGTATAAAAAATAAATAAGATTTTGATTAATAATAATTAATCAATTACTTAATAATAATTTTTTTTATTTTAAAATAAAAGTATAAAAATTTTATTAAATACAATATAAAAATAAAAACTTATTTAATTTTTTTTAATAGTTCAGGAAGTTTTGAAATTATTGTACCTAATTTAACATATAATGAGAATGAAAAAGTCTTAAAAATTTCAAATCCTAAATTTGAATCTCACCATATATAAATTTACTCTAATTTCATGTTTAATTAATTTATTTGTTTTTTTATATTTCATATAATAATTTTGTTATAAAATTATTTGATTGTGATAATAATTGTAATTTATATATATAATTTCATTACAAAATATTTAACGTACAACAAGTAAAGGATAAGATTCGAGAGGCGTTGGTCATGATAGAACGCGCTTGGTAAAGCTTTAATAGTTCTGATACCATAAAAGATAATAATAACAATATCTATTGTATTTCAGTTGAATTATCTACATTTATGGACTTTTATCAAATAACTAGATTAAATGATAAGATTTATTTAAAATATAAATACTAATAATTCTATCTCCTATTATAAATATTTGACTAATCCGCACTAGTAACATATTTTATTTATTTATTTATTTATCTTCTTTCTAAAGATAAAAAAAGTTCAAAAGAACCTCCTTTAAAACACAAGACACCCAGAAAATGTATAAGATAATTTGGCTTGTTATAACCACAAAATATAGTAAAAAAACAATTATAAACAGACAACAAAACAAAAGAGGAGAAAAATCATTTTCGAAGAGTGTGTTACACTCCTGCGTAAGCCTGACTGCAAGTACACGATTGGAGAGAGTTGAATTAGGTTTTGTTTCACTGTTTCATTTGTTTGCATTACAGTTTGGAATTTTTACACAGCCTTTGTGCACCCTAAAATAGACTTCAAGTGGTCCCTTTCGAAGGTTGCGTAAGAATTTTGCAGTCCTTGGAACTGACCAATTTGGTGGCATTAGCCTGTGTCTAGTGTCCGGACATTTCGTTGTGTATTTCCAAACAATAAATTATCTCTCTTTTTGTTTTCAGTTTTTTTTTTCATTAATTTTTTTTAATACAAAAATAAAAAGCTTATGTTAAAAAATGATTCCTTGAATATATTTTCTTCGCGAATTACAACTTGCAACATTTATAGGTAGGATTCTTACATCGCAGGAGAAGCATGTGTGACATGTTTCATTTGCCTAATTTTCCCCAGAATTCTTGCATTTCACTTTAAGATTCCCTTTTTCCGAAGTGGTGTTGCCTAAATTTGGTTGCCTTTATAATCAGAGTTCCATCTCTGAATTTGTCTATCAACTTAATAGAAATGAGCTGTTATGTTAGTATAAGATAAGTAAATCCATCTTGTTCCATAGATTCCGTCTTAGTTAGATTAAATGTAAAGAAATTTGACCTTAATAATTTTAAATATTTAATTGAGTTCGTATTTAAAATATATATATTTTTAAAACCTATATTGTTCAAAATTTTTAGAGAGCCTTTTTATTATTTTATAATCTTAATCAAATTAATTTAAAAACAAAAACAAAAAAACATTTAATCGAAGTAAGATACAATATATGAGAAAACATTGTTTTATTTTTCCTGTCGAACGATTCATAAAAGAGAAAGTTAAAAAAAGTTCGAGAAAGAAAGAGTTAAAGAAAAATCATCTATGCTAATATGTATTAAATATAAATTCTTATGTTAAATTAAAATTACATTGTAGTGTTCTCTTTTACCATTATAAATTTTTTTTCTTTTGCTTTTTGTTTCATAATAATAAGAAACGGGAAACCTTGTTTTCTATTTTCAGAACTGATAATATCAAAATAAAACTTTTAAACACATTTCTTTTTTCTTTCTTTTTTAAATTGTGAAGAATTTTTCCAAACTAAAGGCTAAAATAAATTTCCTTGCGATATTCATAGAAAACATAATTTAATTTTTTTTTTGTTATTTAATTAGATATAGACATTTCAATACTTGTACGTTTGTCTGTATTTTTTTTTATAATTAAAAGAAAAAGAATTCGAATCTTATTTTTTAAACAAAAATGATGCATTAGAAGATGAGAGATTTAAACCTCATTTTTTACATTAGGGATAATATATCAGAGCCAAATGCTCAAGTACGTATATTTATCTGTGTCTTGATTTAAATGTTGTAACAATTTTATTGACAAAATAATAAAATATGGGTTCCAATTTGGCAGTTGAGGATACCCATAAAAGGAGTTGTTGGACTGCACCATTTTCATGATCATTACATTTCTTCAAATTCTTTTTTTTTATCATTATTATTTTTAATCATAATTGTTCTTCAAGTTTTATCTCTTGACAAAATTTATTCCATAAAGGAAGGATTATTTAAAGAAACAATGTCATTGTAATATTAGTTTGGCACAAGTTTTAATCATTATACATTGACTGTAATATAACATAGTATCGAATTATTATCTTGACTCTGCGTAATCTTACAACGTTATATTATATAAATTGCTTTTCTATCTGCATGGAAGCACCATGTTATAGAAAATGAGATTTATAATAGCATCTAACGCATTCATTGTCCAATTAAATCCACAACAAAAATCCCATGTCCTTTTTTGGCCCTCCCAAAAAAAAAATAATAAAACGATTTAATGTTCTACCTAGAAGCTCAAAACCACTATAAATATTAAATATTACCGTAATTGCCATTATTATTTAATTCTGCATTTCTTGTTTGAAAGATTTAATGGGTATGAGGTATCTTTCCCACTTTCCCATTCATTAAATTTGACATTTTAAAATATTCATAGTTAGCTCCTGTTTAGTCGGTGATAGATTCTTCTTTCCTTTTTAATAACAAAATAGGGTTGAAGTTGTTGAACACTAAAAAAGAAAAATTCATGATTTTTAAAAATAATAGTTTTTTATCATTTTTGTGATATGTGATTTTCATTTAAATTATTTTTTAAAAAATAAAATTATCACTTAGTTATATCAATTGACCAAATCATCATCTAGACCATGACCAAGACCCGAAGACATGTTCTGGACTATTACTGTCTAAAGTTAATTTAAATGACAGCCAAAAACAACTAAACAAAACGCTTTCCCAGCTATACTCCAACATAACGGAAGTAGTACTTCAAAGGTTTCACTTTTCCTTGGCTGTAAGAATTTCCGTTTCTTTTTTTTTTCTCAACAAATAAATTCATACTTACTCTTTTTCTTAGTAATAAATTCACACTTTAACCCAACAAAAAAATATAAATATTTTTAATTTTAAAAATGGAAAACGGATAATAAAATAACCATAAAACAAAAACTCTAATTAGTTAATATAGTTAGAATTAACAAAAGAAACAATTCCACAAGTAAAATTTATGAAAAGGGCAAAACAAAGAATCAAATCAACCAAAAAAGACTACTTTTGTGAAACAGGAAAATCGTGCGTTGAGTCTCTGACAGATAAATACAAATAAAACATCAACGCAAAAAAGAAACTTGCGAAACGCTAAAACAACTTTAAGTATCGCTTTCAGGCGTGGCAGTAACAAAAACGCTTAAACTCTTTGTCTCTTTCTCCCAATTATCATTATAATATTTTTTTATTTTATTTTAACGAAAAAAAAATGAAAACGGAAGGAATTTTAATTTTGTGAAAAATATTAAAAAAAAATGTAAACTGAAAGTCGTGCCCGTGGGAAACGGAAAAGCCTTCTGCATTTTCTTTCCACTTGTCCTTGTTCTTCGGTTTGTCTGTACTTTTATTTAT